TTTTTTTAAGTAAGATACTTAACCAGTATTTGTAAGATAAAGATTCTTAAACAAGAAATATTATATCAAATAAATAAATAAAATACGGAAGAAGAATTTTGCAATACATAGTATGGTGGAGATAAACACTCAACCATAGATATAGACTATAAACTCTATATAAACTAATCAATTGTATGGTAACAGATGACATGACAGCAGGTGTATTTGTAGTTTCTCATACTTATATGGTCACTGGGGTTTGGTTTACATATTTTCTTCATGTTACCAAAGACTAGGTATAAGTAGAAGAAACAAAGAACACTGGTAAAAGAAGTATTTTGCTGATAAAAGAAGAGCTACAACTTTTTAAACATCGATTAGTTAGTTGAGACATTTTTTTTGAGGTAAATGTTTAGATGCTTGCTACTCACGCAAGTGTCGCTGCCCCTGCAGTTGAATTGGACTAATATGTAAGCTAGTAGTTCTGTTTTTGGGTTATGACGACGATGACGACTGTCATGCCATGAAAGTTTGTTTTAGTGCTAACAGAAACTACATTCTAGTGTGTAATGGAAATACATACGTAGATGGTGGGATCAGTGTTGCCAAATTGAGTGGGTTTGTATTTGGAAAGTGGGATAGATGAATGACTAGTCCCGACTGGGTCCATGACTAGTCCCTTTAGCTGCTCAAGCAAAAATTTCAGAACGTTTACAAGCAATAGGATGCATTTAAAAACTATGGATTTGGGTGAAGATGAGAGACGTTGAAATGCAGCTTGAGGACAGTGAAAAGTCATTTGAAGCATTACTGGCAATATAATACAATCTTATATGAATACCGTCCAAGTATTGCGAGTATTGCCCGATGACGAATACGTCTTCGAATCAAGACAACACCCGGCCATATGTGGCAATAATTCCTAAAGAAATGTTTAGAAAATAGTTGTTTTGAAGTTCGAGCTAACCTGCTTAATAGTCTTAACTTTGTTTGTATTAATTAGTATTGGACTGGGAATCTATATGATGCCAGAACTACGGAAAACGATTTTAACTGACAATATCCAATACTTTAAATGAAATAAACTCCCAAAATTTGTCGAAATTTCCGTAAAATATTTCATCTACTTTGAAAATGCGGATAGACGCAGGAAATTGGTTAGGATCTTAGAGCCAAAGTACAAGTTTGAATAGATTTTCTTATAAATCTCTTGAGGCACCGACAACGAAATCAAAATTATTCAGTTTCACTTCTTGCACATCAGATGGTTTAATTCATTAATATAATGGAGGAGGATTCACTACGTTGGTAAATATCGAATTAATCATAAACCGAATGCTTCGCTAAATGTGATTTAACCTGGAGAAACCTTTATTGATTTAAAAATCTTGAATCTACTATGAAAAGTTTAGTAGATTAACTACGAATGGCAAGAACTGACTGAACTCAAGCGCAAAAGACGATGTTGGGACGATCCGGCAGACTAGTTAATAGTTGCAGATTCGATTAGGGAGAGAGAAAGATAATCCGTTTTTCCGAATTACAGATGTTTGACGACCGAAAATTCAAAAAATTTCTAGTATTTTATTACTTTAACGAATGTTTCATTTCACAAAATGAGGGAATAAGATTCTTCACCTCTAGTTTTATTATATTTTTAAAATAATTTAACCAGATTTTATGAGTAATTTATAAAAAATGTGTATAAAGAAAGCACGTAAATATGAATCATATGGTTTAAAAAAAAACTATTAATCATACTTTGGTGCCTCAAGAAATGCATGTTATCTTTTGACCCATATTTTAATGTTAAATTAGTGTTAAGAATACTTAACATATAAAACAAAATATGGTTTAAAAATATGGCAAGTATCTAGTGATAAAAATACAAAGGGCCAACCCTAAACAGGCCTCTTGGAATTTCTACTGAGACTTTGTAGTCAGACTTTCTTCAGAAATCTTTTTGCAGATCTATTCCTTGTAAAATATTAGACATTTATTTCAAATTCCCTTCTTTCGTGCAGCATAATAAAAATTAGTCTTACACAGTTATAAAACTAATAAAATTCAGAGAATCGTAATAAATAAAAATATGCGGGGAAGGTCTTTGCATTTCCAATTTTATCGGAGTCCATCTTCTGCTAAAAATATAATTTTAGAAGGTTCTATTTATTCCTTTATATCACTGTGTAAGTAAAGATAATTTTCGGCTGTGTGACTTATATAGGAACAACATATACAAATTATTATGGATTTTTAATCAATTGTTAGATGTTAAATACAAATTTTGTGAATTATTTTTGCAAAACATTTTGGCAACACTGTGCTATGAAGTTAATTGCGAAAAATTTATACAAAAACAAAAAACCCGTCCCCACTTGTCGTGCCAGTTAATAATAATAAGAAGAAGACAATGAATGTTCTTGTTTATAAACATGATGATGACGATGAAAACAAAAAAAGAAATTTGTTGTTATTATATTTGTTGGTGTAAAATGTTACATTTGCGTTTATATTTTCTCAATAATTTTATTTTGTGCATGATTTTCTGTAAAAATAAACTAACTAGTTTTCTAAACGACTTAATGGGTGCGGTATTTAATTAATTTTTATTTAATTTACTTTTTCAAACACAAATATACACATGGAGATTTTTTTATTTGAGGTGGAAGGTTGACAATATTTATTCGTTTACAATCAAGATTTATCGAAAATAATCAAATTTTGTTAAAATTTAAATATTGTGAACGGAAGAACTGATGATGTCGCACCAAAAAAAACCTATTAAAATAACAAAAATAGATATGAAAACAAAATAGTTTTTGCCAATTACGTTTTTGTTTAGTTAGTTAATCAACGTTCCTCATAATAAGAAACAAAACTGCAAAATTTATTTTAATATCGAGACAAAATAAACAAAACAAAAGAAATAATATAATAATAATGAACAACAAAATAAGTATGCATAATACCAGCAACAACAGCAAAGCTACCAAAAATACCTTCAATATTTTTTTTTTAGTTTTTGCCAAACGAATACTTATAACATTTTTAACATTTACACCAGTGTTGCTCAAACACATACTACCATAGACTACCATAGTTTTATTTGTGTTGGTAAAGCAGCAGAGAACATAATTCAATTCAAAATAAAAGTATACTAATAAAATGCCTATAAACTATAAAGCATATGCTAACTGTCAAATATTTATTATGGATTTTGACAGCCAGCGTATATCAAAGTCTATATATAAAAAACTATCAACTGTTCTCTCATGTTCTCCTACATTAATTCGGCTTTCTCAAAATTTTGTTGTTGTATTTCTGTGTGTATTTTAAAAACGTCGCGTACAGACCTCGCTTCGACAAGTGCTGATCAGCAACTGATTTGATTTTGTTTTTCAAGTTGAGAGCAAACCAACTGATATTGCTCATTATAAAAAGAAGAAGAATTAAACCTATAGTGTATGTGTATCAACTTAGCGTCAGCAGAATTTTCTTACCCTATCACGCGTGCTATGTAATGGCAATCTTGCGCTCCTCTGATTTACACAAATACACTCAACTAAAACTCAAAACAAAATATTCATAAATTCCTCAATATTATTCATTTAAATACAGTGTTGTCAGTGTAGCGCTTTTTAATTTTGGCTAAGAAGTTTAAGCTGAGTTTTACAAAGAATAACGCATAGAATGTGCATTGTATGAAGATAAATTTTCAATAGCGGGTCGTAATACATAAAGAATACATGTAAATAATAAGAACCCACAAGTCAAGATGCGTATTCTGCGTATTGTAATAAATACATATTCTTTGGTTTTAGATCTGCAAATAGTTTTACAGATGTGTATCATTTTATTTTTGGATCAATAGGTACGTTGCATTATTTCATGTGGTTTGTGGGCCGGTGTCATCATTGGACAATACATCTTCAAAAACGATGTAAATTGCAGTGTTGCAATAGGTGGAGAAGTGGAAGATTTAAAATTTGTTCATAAGTGGTTTCAATAAGACAGTTATACATGCCCTTCTCACGTGATACCGTGAATATATTGAGAGCCGAATTTGGAGAGCTATTAATCTTACATTTTGGATCATTTCATAGACCACTATAATACCTTTAGTGAGGAAACATGCAGTCTTTGGTATACAGGGTCAATCCAGCCACAAGCATTTGTGAAAGAATATCTTTAAAAGTTTGGAAAAATGTCCTGGATGTCATTAAGAAACCATTGGAAATTTATTCAATTCATCCAATCTTGTTAAATTTCGGATGTGAAGAATAATAAGGGAGCTACATAAGCCAGGTAAAAAGTCTTTGGGATATGTATGTAGATAAAAAATCATTACAGCTTTAAGGAATAAGCAATGTTTCTATTGAAATTAATCTTAAAAGACCTTACAAATAAGAGCAGTATTTTAGCGATCGGATATTTATTTTAAAATTTATCCTTTTTGGACGGGTTTCTGTGGCATAACTTTGCTGTTAGATTAAGAGCAGCTTGCTTTGTTATTATGGCTCACTTTTCAGTAAAAAATTATGAAATGAAAATTTAAAGAAAATTAAAAAAAAAACTACCATAACTTAGGTTTAATTGGATAGCTGCACTTAGTTAAACGAATATAATAAACAAAATAACCGAAGGTGTGAATACCGGTATATAGTTATTTTTTAATTGAATTAACTATTTTCCAGTTCTGCTCCTCATAAAATTATCTAATCGAAGATATACAGTAGGTATAAAAAATTAGACAAACAAAGTTAAATACTTTATAAATGAGTCACTAAATGATGATATTTTAACTTTATACCTAAAAACGGGTTTAAATATAATTTTCATTTAATACCTAAAACCGTGTTTAAATGAATTTTCAAAGACTTATTTCAGGATTTTCTACAAAAACGTTTAGTATTTCTTCCTTTTTAAATCCTTCAAAACCCCAACAGTTGACATTACTGTTTTTATTAAAAAACGATACAAATATGTTGTTATTATTATTGTTGTTGTTTACTTACTTGTCACTTTAATATGTGTTGGGCTCCACATTGTAAATGTGTTTGTTGTTGCTGTTGTGAGTATGTATGAGTGTTTATTTACGTGAGGTGTTGTTGTTGTTGGTTGGTTGGTTGCTTTGCTCCCTCTCGTTGGTTAAAATTTACCTTGATGTTACTATTTTTGCTGTTTTATTTTTTCTGTTTTTTGTTGTTGTTATGGTATTAGTAGCTGAATGCGATCAACTGATTGTTTTCACCGAGGTTTTTTCTTCTATTCATATACTTTTTGAATCATCCAAAGAAATTTTGTAATTAATATACAATATAGGTAGGTATTTTTATTTTAAAACCATTTATTTTTAACTGCTTAAGATTATTCACTTCTTTTTCTTTTTCCAACACTTGTCACATTTATACTTTGTTTTAATTTCTTTTTTGTAATTTATCACGAATTTATTTCTATTTAATTAAAATTTATATTATATTTTTGTTGAAATTTTCTCTAGATTATTAATTAATTATGGAAATAAAACAATAAATAAGAAAACGTATAAAACGAAAACCGTAGAAGAAACAAATTAAAACGACGACGACGAAACACAACCGACCAATGTCGATGAAAAATCACTTCTAATTTGACATCGCATAGAATTTAGACAAGGTGTACTTGCATAAACAGCTGAGTAATATTTATGGGAAATTTAAATGCCAGCCCAAAGTAAATTTATAAAGTAGACTCATTTGAACAGCTGACTATTTTTTTTAAACTTGCTATTTGTGGACTTACTTGTCAAAAATGTTTATGTTGCCATATTTGTTTTCATTTTAACGCTTGCTGTTGTACAAATTTCTGAGTAATTTGTTGTATTTAATGTGAAAAAGTGTATTTTAAGTGTATAATATTTTTAAAAATGTTCTAATTTTTAAAAAATAAAGAAAACTCTGTGACTTTTAATATAAATAACAACATATTTTTGGAAAGTACAACAATAATGCCATATTTTCCATTAATTATTGGTTCATTTTTGTAAACAAATTTTGACAAGTGAGTATTTCGAACAAAAACAAATTGCCTGTGGTTTTTGTAGACGTTTGTTGTACAACAACTCGTGTCGCTACTTTATTAATTTACTTTGTGCCAGCCAATCTTAAATAGTGTTGCCAGAAACTAAATTCGTTATTAAATTCGAAAAAAAATTTAAAGAAAATATAATTATAAACAACATTTGTGACATTTTTTATTTAATTGTCGCTTAAAAAACGAAGAAAGTTGCTCGTTTTACGGCATTTAATTATTTTCGTAATGCCACATATTTTCTTTTTTAACAGACTGTTTCATAAGTATATTTATTATTACTAAACAAAAATTTCCCTTTCATATATGAAACAGCTTGTGCGACAGCTGTTTATTATTGACTTTTTTTATTGAAAAAACGTCATTGTTTCAGAACTTTTTTACTACTCTTACTACAAAATTTAATTAAATTCCAAATAACTAATCATTTAGTTAAAATTTACCTAAAATAAAGTTATTTGTTAACTTAAATCCCTACATTCCAGTATCACCACAATGGTTTGTGTTCCTTGTTTCATTATTCCCGTACTACTGTACATTTGGCACAAATTTATCCAACCCATAATGCTGCGTTATTGGAATCCTTGGGCCAAGAAAGATGCCCAGGGTAATGTTATTAAAGAAGCCCCCGAATTTCCATTCGAATGCAAAGGTGGAGTTTGTCCTTATCCAGGTGCTAAGAAGAAGCTGAAAGATAATGAGTCAGAAAACAATCCGGAAGATAAGAACGAAAGTGAAGCGGCGACCTTGACAACAAAGCCAGAAATTGTAGCAGCAACCTCGGAAGTGGATAGTAAAAAAGTTAATTAAATGTAATAAAATTAGTTTAAAAGAGAGGACAACAAGTATTTTAAGTTTTAATTTTTAAAGAAAATAATTGTTTTTTAAACTTTGGACTATGTATTTAGTTTTTATGGACAAGATAAAATAAAAAGTAAATAAATATTCGTGTATAATTGGGTTTTAATAATTTATTGATGATATATATTTTTCATTTAACCAAATTTATAGAAAAACATTGTTAAAAAAGATGGAAAAGATACGAAAGTATTCTAGCCATTGGTTCTTAAAATCCTAGAATTTTTAATTTGAATATATTGCATAATCTGAGATTATTAATCTCATATGATATTGATAATCTGTAGTAATTTTAGTTTTAAACTTCAAATCGGTCGATTTACCGTATTCATGGCCACATAAACTTTCATATCAAAAAGTAGGTTTAATATAGAAATCATATTACATCAATGTCATTATATTAACAAGAATTAAGGATACATTTAAAGGGATAACGAATATAGTAAATCAGTACAAGATTATACAATTATAGTTGAAGAAACCTATAAGCATTTTCAAATACTGGATAATTTGAAACATGATAAAGGTAATTTATTGAACCATGGTCCTAACTACCATTTTTAAGTAGATAAGCAGGCGCTATTTAAATTCAACATCATCACAAAGCGTTTCATTTAAGTTTTTGATAAATTACTTTTTTTTAATGAAAATTTTAAATTTTTAGTAAAACAAAATTATAATTAAAATAATGTTTAGATATAGATAGATAGATAGATAGATAGATAGATAGATAGATAGATAGATATATAGATAGATAGATAGATAGATAGATAGATAGATAGATAGATAGATAGATAGATAGATAGATAGATAGATAGATAGATAGATAGATAGATAGATAGATAGATAGATAGATAGATAGATAGATAGATAGATAGATAGATAGATAGATAGATAGATAGATAGATAGATAGATAGATAGATAGATAGATAGATAGATAGATAGATAGATAGGTAGATAGATAGGTAGATAGATAGATAGATAGATAGATAGATAGATAGATAGATAGATAGATAGATAGATATATAGATAGATAGATAGATAGATAGATAGATAGATAGATAGATAGATAGATAGATAGATAGATAGATAGATAGATAGATAGATAGATAGATAGATAGATAGATAGATAGATAGATAGATAGATAGATAGATAGATAGATAGATAGATAGATAGATAGATAGATAGATAGTAGATAGATAGATAGATAGATAGATAGATAGATAGATAGATAGATAGATAGATAGATAGATAGATAGATAGATAGATAGATAGATAGATAGATAGATAGATAGATAGATAGATAGATAGATAGATAGATAGATAGATAGATAGATAGATAGATAGATAGATAGATAGATAGATAGATAGATAGATAGATAGATAGATAGATAGATAGATAGATAGATAGATAGATAGATAGATAGATAGATAGATAGATAGATAGATAGATAGATAGATAGATAGATAGATAGATAGATAGATAGATAGATAGATAGATAGATAGATAGATAGATAGATAGATAGATAGATAGATAGATAGATAGATAGATAGATAGATAGATAGATAGATAGATAGATAGATAGATAGATAGATAGATAGATAGATAGATAGATAGATAGATAGATAGAATAGATAGATAGATAGATAGATAGATGGAATGATAGAACCGAACTTTCCATTTGTCACTAAAATTATACGAACGTTTTAAGGAATATCAATTTCTGTTCCATTAAACATCAACAGATTTTTTCGAAAAAAAAACGTGTTAAAAGTGTTTTCATTTTCAAGTCTTTCACTAAAATAAACTTTTTTCGGATTTTACCAAGTAACTAACTAACCAACCAGAGATCAAAGAGTTTTTCGCATTGGCTCTTTTACTAATACAACTGCCAAACCTACATCGACTTTGAACTCTCCTTGTAAGCCTGATAACCGCCTGAAACATACAGATTAATGGCAGCCTGATATTACACACCATCTGAACCCGCTAAAATATGGAAAAAATTATAAATAAAAACCACAATTTTGTTTTTTTTTTTAACAATTATAATATTGTATTTTTATTTTTACAGTATATATCGCTTTCATTTCATATACTGTACAAAAATATTGTTTGTTGTATGTATAAAAAAATTATTATTTATAATATAAAAATAAGCATAATAAAGCGCAAAAAATATATATAGACAGAGAATTCAATTTAGAGGATATTTAGAGAAAGAGAACAAAAATTATATTATTGTATAAAAGAAAATTTTACATTTTAACAGGAGAACAAGTTGTTTGAAAATACATACAAACTAAAATTGAATTTACGGCTGTGTAATGGAATAATTATTTGATGTAATTTATAAAAAAAAAGAAAACTATTATTGAATACAGCATAAATAAAAATTATATATTATGGTAAAATGTAATTTAAAAAATATAATTTTTTAACTTAATAAAAAAATATTAAATTACTGTTTTGTTTTTGTTTTTGCTTTAATAATAAGAATTTTAGCACTTAATTGTTAAGTAAAACTAAAAATGTAAATTATGTTTAAAAAAAAGAGATTGATTTTTTGTTTATAAAGCTTAAATTATATATAAAATATTTAATAAAACTATATAAAACCGGGAATTAGGATAAAAATTTTACAATGTACAATACACACATAAAAAAAATTACAATTAAATATGTTTGTTTTTTGTTAAAAGGCGTTTAGTATTTTATTTTGTTTTTAATGTAACTTACATTTAATAAAAATTTATTTTAAGTTAAAACTAATGGATTGATTTTTTTGAGATACTTTTTACATATGAAAATATTCTTTAAAAAAAAACATAATGAAATAATAAAATGCTTCTTCGTTTTACAATTATAATTATTTAATTAAGAAAATAAATTATATGCTAAATAAAAAAATAATTAGGATTGTTTATTTCTTGTTATTTACTGGCTTTTTAATAAAGACCTCGTTTTTAAATTTAAGTAATTTAACAAAAAAAAATCTTTAAAAATTGGAAGCATTAGTTCAGAATTATTAATATGTAACTAAAAAAAAAAAAATAAAATAAAAAAACAGTTAACTTTAAATTTAACATAATATATTAAACTAAATTGTAAGTGTTTTTTATAATTAAACTTTTCACTAAAAAAATATTAAAGATAAAAGTCATTTTTATTTAATTTTTATGAAAAAAAAAATTAATTAAAAAGTACTGGCATTACAAAACTAAACAAAAGTTTTAAATTTAAGAATTTGTCTTCTACAGTTTGTTAGAAATATATTTTAGTTATGTTATATAATTTTTATAGTTTAAAGCTTAATGAAAGTTTAATTAAAATAATAAAACGAATATACAATTTTTTTTTGCTTAAGGAATTTCTGAGAAATTGAGAGAAATATATAAACACAACTGAGGGCAAAGGGCAAGGGGAAACTTTTAAAATTTCTTCTTAATTTGCAAATTATTCTTTGAAGGAGAATCAAGTGGGATATTAGTAAGGCTTCACAAAATATTCATAGTAATAAAGCAAATTACTCGAGATCATGAGTAAAAAGCTTTGTTAATCTCTCTAAAAGTGATCGACACAAAGAACACTTTACGCTTTAAAAGCTTAACATTTAAGTTTCAAATTTGCTTGATTCACATAACTGTCCTACACTGTTTTACAATTAATTCTGAATCCAAATATTTCCCTATTTTTTCTTCCCTTAAAACCCTAATTATATGTTTATACATTTCATATATAAGAAAAAAATTCTTTAAATACTACAAATCTACTATTTAAATTAAAAAGAATTCTTTTTAAATAAGAGATTTTCATATGAAATTCTGGTCTGGTTTTTTTTTGGGGGGGGGGGGGGGGGGGTTGGAGATTCTCAAAATGAGTTTCATTTCTTTAAGCTGATTTTATAATTGATTCTTTTATACAAATCGTATTTTTGTTAATGATCTTACTTCCTTCCTTTTTTCATCTAATACAATCTTATATGATCGTTTCGTATGCATGTATGTGTTAAGCTTAAAAATATGGCTTTTTTTTAACTTAGCAGCCCTTGAGTCTGTTTTTAAAACAGACACAAGTGTTCTCTTTTTTTTTTTTTTTTGTTAACTTACAAACTAAGCACAGTTTAAAATTTCGTTTTATTTGTTGGGTTTTTTTTTTCGTTAAATATTCACCTAAATATTAATAATATATTATTATGTATATTTATATAAGTCTCTTTGCATTTAGCATTTTAAAGCATCAATAAAACATGATGCTTCATAATTCTCTTAACTACACAGAGAGCTTTTCGTTTTAACTCTCTTTTTACTTTCATTGTCAAATGTAAATCGCCTCTGAACCCTTGTTGGCCTGATGACCACCTGAAATATAGAGATTATTGGCAGCCGGCGATTGTACACCCTCTGACCAATCGGAACGGGGCGATGAACTTGACCAGTGGCCGGGCGATTCGGGTGATGGTGTGGGATAACTGTCTAGAGTTTGGACCATGTGTTGTGGTGTGTGGCTGCCCGAGTGTTGGCTGGGTGGTGTCAGGTACTGATAGAAGGCCTGATTGTGTTGTGATGATGGTGATAACATGTTGGCTGTCGAGGGCGATGAGGCTGACATTGAACTTTGTATGGAGGGGGGATTCATTTGACCCGAGTGAAATGAGTCTGTAAGGCAAGGAAATTGTAACAATAAATTATTTTGTTAAAAGACATTTAAGTGGTTTAAACTTACCCGGTGATCCACAAAAACTATTCAAGTCCAAGCCTGCTGAACTGAAATCCATTCCCGGACCTCCGTTATTATTACCACCCATTTGCTGTTGTTGTTGTTGCTGCATTGATTGCATTATTGCACTATTCTTGTTTTGTTGCTGCTGCTGTTGTTGTTGCTGCTGTTGCAACTGTTGCTGCTGCTGCTGTTGATTGGCGGCCATCATAATGCCCATATCACTACCAGTGGGCGAAATAATGCCTAAACTAACTGGTGAATTTTGACTGCTAGGAGTTTGGAAATTCATGCTGTTGGGTGAGTTTTGTGATTGTAGCGCAGAAGCACTGCTTCCACCCAACAATGTATTCAAGTTATTGCCACAGAA